TAGCACACTGCAGGTTCAAACTCATGGGCTCAAGTGATCCTCCTAGCACAGCCTCCTGAGTAGCCAGGACTACAGGCATGTGCCATTATGCCCAGCTAATTTTTACAAAATTTTTTTGTAAAGTCAGGGTCTCACTATGTTGCCCAGGCTGGTCTCAAATTCCTGGGCTCAACTGATCTCCCGCCTTGGCCTCTCAAAGTGCTGGGATTACAGGCATGAGCTGTGCTCCACTTATTATCATTTATTTTTTTTTTTTTTTGAGACAGAGTCTCCTTTGTTGTCCAGGCTAGAGTGAGTGCCGTGGCGTCAGCTAGCTCACAGCAACCTCAAACTCCTGGGCTCGAGCGATCCTCTGCCTCAGCCTCCCGAGTAGCTGGGATACAGCATGCGCCACCATGCCGGCTAATTTTTTATATATATATATCAGTTGGCATTCATTTCTTCTATTTATAGTAGAGCGGGGTCTGCTCTTGCTCAGCTGGTTTTGAACTCCGGCCTTGAGGCAATCCGCCCGCCTCGGCCTCCCAAGAGCTAGGATTACCGGCGTGAGCCACCGCGCCCGGCCTATCTCATTTTTATATACGAGGCAACTGAAGGTTAACTTCCCCAAGGTTATACAGCTTGAAAGTAGCAGGCTGGACCTCAAACCCAGGACTTTCAACCAAGACCAGTGTTCTTTCTGGTAATCAGCATGCTCTAGAGATTGAGAATGTGGCTCCAGTACCTGGCTATCAGAGTTAAAGCCCACTCAATAAATACTGGCTTGCTGACATTAGGTAAGTTACTAAACTTCTTTCTTTTTTATTTGAGACAGAGTCTTGCTTTGTTGCCCAGGCTAGAGTGAGTGCTGTGGCTCCAGCCTAGCTCACAGCAACCTCACACTCCTGGGCTCAAGCAATCCTTCTGCCTCAGCCTCCCAAGTAGCTGGGACTACATGCATGTGTCACCACGCCCGGCTAATTTTTTCTGTATATGTTAGTTGGCCAATTAATTTCTTTCTATTTATGGTAGAGACGGGGGTCTTGCTCTTGCTCAGGGTGGTTTCGAACTCCTGACCTCGAGCAATCAGCCCGCCTCGGCCTCCCAGAGTGCTAGGATTACAAGCGTGAGCCACCGTGCCCGGCCGTTACTAAACTTCTGTTTCCACTTTTGTAAATTGGGAATTAGCAACCATATAGGATTGCTGTGATGCTTAAAGGAGTTTAGTGTCAGAAAGCACTCAATAGATGTTAGCCATCACTATTCATTCTCGACTGCTACCCAACAGCAATATGTGAACCAAACAGTAATTTTTAAGTTTTCTAGCACCACACTTCCTTTATTTATTTATTTTTTATTTCAGCATATTATGGGGGTACAAATGTTAAGGTTACGTATATTGCCCATCCCCCTCCTCCCCCCTCCCACCCGCCTGACACCCGAAAAATGTTATTCCTATATGTCCACTTAAGTGTTGATCCATTTATACCAACTTGCTGGTGAGTACATGTGGTGCTTGTTTTTACATTCTTGAGATACATCACAGAGTAGAATGGGTTCCAGCTCTATCCAGGAAAATACAAGAGGGGCTATATCACCATTGTTTCTTAAAGCTGAATAGTACTCATGGTATACATATACCACATTTTATTAATCCACTCATGTATTGATGGGCACCTGGGTTGCTTCCACACCTTTGCAATTGTGAACTGTGCTGTTATAAACATTGGAGTACAGGTGCCCATTTGTACAGTGTCATTTGATCTTTTGGGTAGATGCCCAGTAGTGGAATTGCTGGATCAAATGGTAGATCTACTTGTATCGCTTTAAGGTATCTCCATATTGTTTTCCACAGAGGTTGAACCAGTTTGCAGTCCCACCAGCAGCGTAGGAGTGTTCTGGCCTCTTTTTATTTTTTATTTTTTTTATTTCTTATTTGAGACAGAGTCTCACTCTGTTGCCCAGGCTAGAGTGAGTGCGTGGCATACAGCCTAGCTCATCAGCAACCTCAAACTCCTGGGCTCAAGCAATCCTGCTGCCTCAGCCTCCTGAGTAGCTGGGACTACAGGCATGTGTCACGATGCCTGGCTAATCTTTTGTATATATATATTTTAGTTGGTCAATTAATTTCTTTCTATTTTTAGTAGAGACAGGGTCTCCGCTCGGGCTGGTTTTGAACTCTTGACCTCCAGTGATCCGCCCACCTCGGCCTCCCAGAGTGCTAGGATTACAGGAGTGAGCCACCAAACCAGGCCTGTTTGGGGATTTTTTGATAAAGGCCATTCTTACTGGAGATAAATGATATTTCATTGCAGTTTTGATTTGCATTTCCCTGATGATTGGAGATGTTGAGCATTTTTTCATATCTTTGTTGGCCTTTATTCTGTCTTCTTTTGAAAAATTTCTGTTCATGTCCTTTGCCCACTTTTTGATAGGGTTGTTTGATTTTTTTCTTGCTGATTTTCCTGAGCTCTAAATAGATTCTAGTTATCAGCT